CCCTCGTGCTTCGGTTGCGGTTTGTCCCCGGCCCTTGTTGGTCGTGCGTGTGGCAGCCACTCGATGTGCCCTTTCACATCGATGTTACTCTCTCTCTCTCTCTCTCTTCCTCTCTCTCCCTCCCACTCTATCTGTACAAAAAATAGAAAAATGTCCTCGGGTGAGGATTAAAAAAAAAAAATCAAGTGCCCTGATATACATCAAGTGCTATACAGTAATTCAGATAGTGTGTGTGTGTTGGGGGGGAGGGGCCTTTGTTTTCTAATATTCCTATAAAAAATGTACTGATTTTATAGTTTAAGTAAAATCATGGCAAAGCTTAAAGGAAAAAAAAGAATACTTGTCAGCATGACTTACTCTTAGTGAACACAAGCTAGCTTCTAGGGGTCACTGTTCTCATCCTTTAATCGTTTTTTGAATGTTGAAAATTTTTTTTTAAATTAAATTTGTTGAGGTGACACAATGGTTAATAAAATTATATGTTTCCAGTGTACAATTCTATAATAATACATCACCTGTACATTGCATTGTGTGTCCATCACCCAAAATCAAATCCCCTTCCGTAACCATATATTTGACCCCCTTTACCCTTTATTAACCACCTCACTCACCTCCCTTTCCCTCTGGTAACCACCACACTGTTGTCTGTGTCTCAGTTTTTGGTTGTTTAGAGATATCAAACTTCTTGACTTCAAATTATACTACAAAGTGATGATAATCAAAAGAGCGTGATATTAGCAGAAAAACAGACACAGATCAATGGAATAGAGAACTGAGAGCACAGAAATAAACCCACGTGTATATGGGAAAATAATTTTCAACAAAAGAGCCAAAAACATACAATGGAGAAAAGAAAGCATATTCAATTAATGGTGCTGGCAAAATTCATTCATGCAATAGAATGAAACTAGACTGCTATTTATCACCATAAATAAAAATCAACTCAAAATAAATCAAAGACCTAAATATAAGACCAGAAACAATAAATTATATAGAAGAAAACATAGGTACTATACTTAAGACTCTTGGTTTTAAAGAGGATTTTATGAATTTGACCTCAAAGGCAAGGGAAGAAAAAGCAAAAATAAATGAATGGGAAAGTATCAAACTAAAGAGCTTCTGCACAGCAAAAAGAACTATCAACAAACAAAAAGGTGCCTTGGTCAGGTGGCTAAGCTGATTGGAGCACTGTTCTGTACACCAAAAGGTTGCGGGTTCCATTCCTGGTTAGGGCACATCAAGGTTGTAGGTTTGGGGGTGTGTATGGGAGGCAACTGATCGATGTTTCTCTCTCACATCAACAGTCCCCTCTGCTACCCTCCCTCTCTCTCTTCCCCTTCCTCTTTCTTTAAAAATCAATAAAAACATAGGTGAGGATGAAAAAAACAAAAAGGCAATCAACTAAATGAGAGAAGGTATTTGCAAACGATACCTCCCATAAGAGGTTAATATCCAAAATATATAAAGAATTCACAGATTCAACAACAAATGAGCAATCTAATTTTTTTTTTAATCCTCACCCGAGGACATTTTTCCATTTTTTTGTACAGATAGAGTGGGAGGGAGAGAGAGGGAGAGAGAGAGAGAGAAACATCGACGCGAAAGGGACACATCGAGTGGCTGCCACCTGCACGACCAACCAGGGCCGGGGACAAACTGCAACCGAGGTACACGCCCTTAGTGGGAACCGAACCCAGGTCTCTCCGGACCGCAGGCCAACGCTCTAACCGCTGAGCCAAACTGGCCAGGGCAAGCAATCTAATTTTTAAAAATCGGCAAAGGACCTGAACAGACATACAAATGGCCAACAGATATATGAAAATATACTCAACTTTACTAGCTATTAGGGAAATGCATATCAAAACTACAATGAGCCCTGGCCGGTTTGGCTCAGTGGTTAGAGCGTCGGCCTGCAGTCCAGAGAGACCCGGGTTCGGTTCCCACTAAGGGCACGTACCTCGGTTGCAGTTTGTCCGCGGCCCTGGTTGGGTCGTGCGGGTGGCAACCACTCAATGTATCCCTTTCACATCTCTCTCTCTCTCTCTCTCTCTCTCTCTCTCTCTCTCCCCCCCTCCCACTCTATCTGAACAATGTCCTCAGGTGAGGATTAAAAAAAAAAGAAAAAAAAACTACAATGAGATACCACCTCATTAGAATGGCTATTATCAACAAGATAAGTAATAACAAGTGTTGAAGAGGTTGTGGAGAAAAAGGAACCCTCATTCACTGCTGGTGGGAATGTAAACTGGTATAGCCACTATGGAAAACACTATGGAGTGTCCTCAAAAAATTAAGAATAGAGTTATTACATGATTCAGCTACCCCTTTCTGGGTAACTAACCAAAAAAATTGATAAACACTTATTCATAAAGATGTACGCATTCCTATGTTCATTGCAGCAGCATTCACAGTGGCCAAGACATGGAAACAACCAGAGTGTCTTTCGATAGATGATTGGATAAAGATGTGGTACATGTATACAATGGAATACTATTCAGCCATAAGAAAAAATAAAATACTGCCATTTGTGACAACATGGATGGATCTTGAGAATATCATGATAAGTGAAATAAGTCAGGTGGCAAAGAGCCATATATGAATTCATTCATATGTGGGACATAAAACTGAAAGCAACAAATGAACAAATAAGACAAATAAACATAGGCATAGTTTTAGAATTTTACCAGGGATCATTGTCAAGTTTCCATTGATACCCTCAAACCCATGTGACCTAGATATTAACTCCAGGTAAATCAAACATCTCTACAGGAGAATTGGAATTTGATTCTACCTTTAAAATATGTCTAGAATCCATTACTTTCTGGCTACCCACCACCACCATCCTAGTCTGAGCCACCATCATCCTTTTTTGGACAACTGACCACTGCAAGAGCATCTAAGTATTCTCCCTGCTTCCATCACTGCCTGCCTCTCCCCACCCTCCACAGTCTATTATCCCACAGCAACGAGAGTAAACCTTTTAAAACCTAAGTCAAGTCCTGGCCAGGTGGCTCGGTTGGAGCATCATCCTGTACACCAAAAAGGTTGCAGGTTTGATTCTCTCTCTCTCTCTCTCTCCCCCCCTCTTCCTCTCCCTCTCCCCTTTCCTCCCTCCCATCTTCCCTCCTCCGTTCCACTCTATCCAAAAATTAATGGAAAAATATCCTCGGATGAGGATTAACAACAACAAAAAAGCTAAAATAAATAAAGAATAAACCAATGAATACATAAATAAGTGGAACAAGTTGATGTTTCTCTTTGCTTTCCTCTCTCTCTAAAAATCAATAAAATAAAATAAAATTTTATTTATTTATTTATCCTCACCCAAGGACATTTTTCCATTTTTTGTTCAGACAGAGTGGGAGGGAGAGAAAGAGAAACATCAACGTGAAAGGGAAACATCGAGTGGCTGCCACCCGCACGACCCAACCAGGGCCAGGGACAAACTGTAACTGAGGTATGTGCCCTTAACAGGAACCAAACCTAGGTCTCTCTAGACCGCAGGCCGACACTCTAACCGCTGAGCCAAACTGGCCAGGGCAAAAATTTAGAACATAAGCACCAGTATATAGCAAAATATTCTATGTATAATAAGTATGTGGAATAATTTTGCTGATGAAAATAATTATTCACCCCCAATTCACTAAGTATACTAAAAAACATTGGTGAGCCAATGAAAAGAGACTTAAAGTATCATCAGAAAGATCAATGAACAAATGAATACTTGCTGCCACTCCACCCAACCAAAATTAATTTCATTACCCAGGGAAAGGAACAGAACAAGAATCCCGAACCAATTAACAAGGCAAGAGTTTGCCTAGAAGTTTCCCACTCCCTCAGGAGAAGCTAGCTCTATATTATACCTGACTATGCCTATTTCACAGCAGGGGTTACCATGAGAATGCAAGGTCTCGCTAAGATTCCATGTCCAGTCACTCCCATGCCTAGAACCCAGTTCTCAGACTCTATCTCTGGTACCCTGTTGCTCTACGTTCTCAGAGAACCTTTAACTATTTATTACCCAGCTATCACTGGCGACCAAGATCACTGTTCTCCATTCTTCAGGAGCTCCCATCTTGCTTAGAATAAAATGTACTCCAAAGGTCTTGCTGTGGCTCGAAGGCCCTCTGGGTACTCACTACTCAAGTTTCTTTTTTTTTCATTAGTACTCTCTACTACCTTGGTCAACATCAACCAGTAACATACTGGCACACAGAACCCTAGGGAAAGGAGCTAGTTATTAATCAAAAGGTTTTTTTTTGTTTATTCTGCTTTGCTTTTTAAAGAATAAGTCAGTCACTGACTCAACCAAAAAGTAAATCTCTCAAGAGACATTAAGCCCTGGCCAGTTTGGCTCAGCAATTAGAGCGCCGGCCCTCGGACCAATGAGCCACGGGTTCGATTCCGGTCAAGGGCACGTACCTTGGTTGCAGTTCGTCCTCGGCCCTGGATGGGTTGTGCGGAAGGCAACCAGTCAACGTGGCTCTATTACAGCGATGTTTCTCTCTGTCTCTCTCTCTCCCTCCTTCCCACTCTATCTAATGATAAATAGAAAAGTATCCTCGGGTGAGGAATGAAAAAAAAGAGAGAGACATTAAAGTACAATGAATAACCCAGGTTTGAAATCTAGTCCTACCTGTGTGAATTTGGAGAAGTTATTTAACTTCTCTAAGCTCATTTCTTCATAGTGATGATAACAGTACTTACCTCACAGGGGGATAATGTACGTTAAATAGGACTGGGCCTAGCACAGTAAGTATTCAGTAAATGGTAGCTAAACCTATTAAAGGTTGTCAACTTCATGCAAAGATTTTCCTTCATTAGACTAGCTGGTTGATTAAATGAGAAACCATGTGAAGTACTTAAGCACAGTGTATGGTTCATAATGGTCATAAACAAATACTGACTTTCCTCTCTCTAATAATGGTGCAAAAATTGCAGACTTCATAAACTACCCAATTCTATCATTGTGGCCAGGTTTCACTGCACAACCTACTTACCATTTAGGTAATTTAACCTTTCAGTCAATGCTTCAGGCTGCTCCCCCCAGTGGTTGTTGTCCTGGAAACAGTCACCTACTATCTTTCAATGGCAGTTGCCTCTTTGACCTGGACAAAATACAAACCGGAAGGAAGAGATAAGTAAAAAATGAACTGCATCCAGACTGAGCAAGCTGAACCAAAGGCCTGTCAAAGACTATCATATACAGCGTAGTGTCAGAAAAGAGAGAAGGCAGAATCTGAGTCCAGATGCTACTGACTCTCTTTCCAGGGCAGAGAAGTTTGGCTCCAGGAGACTTCCCCTTTCCAATCAGATGTGGTTCCAGTGCAGATTACATTGTCTTTCCTTAAATTAACAGACCTATACATTCCTCAAGAGTCTAAAAATTCATGTGACATCTTATAAGCTGGGAAGGATCTCAGAAATCAACTAGTTAAATGCCCTCATTTTAAGAAAGGAACTGAAATTGACAGGGAACCAAACCCTACACCCTTTGGTACACAGGCCAATGCTCTATCCACTGAGCCAAACGAACCAGGGCTGCCCTTTGGTTTTGTAACTAGCCTTCTTTCTACAAGAAAGCTGAAAAGCATAATAACCCATTGAATCTTACCCCTAATAAGTTACTGAAGATGAAAGATCTGGGTCAAACTTCTGTCAATCCTAGGATGGAAAAATAGCTAAGCTAGTGATAAAAATAAACTTTTGTACATGGTCTTACACCTCTCTCCTTTCATCACAACTGCCCATCCCTCCCCTTCCATATCCTGCAGACCACCTTTTGAACTCCTACCAAGGATGCTGATCCCTTTTATCTGATTTCTACACCTCCACTGGTATACTATAACATACACAAATACAATCTATCCCTGCCTCTATCCCTCTAGAGAGCTAGAAGGTTAGAATTAAGATGAAGAAATAATAAAATGACAGTTTTTTAAACAGCTTTTTTAAAAAGATGAGAGCCCTGGCCAGTTTGGCTCAGCAGTTAGAGTGTCAGCCTGCGGTCCAGAGAGACCCGGGTTCAGTTCCTACTAAGGGCACGTACCTCGGTTGCAGTTTGTCCCCGGCCCTGGTTGGGTCGTGCGGGTGGCAGCCACTCAATGTGTCCCTTTCACATCAATGTTTTCTCTCTCTCCCTCCCACTCTATCTGAGCAAAAGAATGGGAAAATGTCCTAGAATGAGGATAAATAAATAAATAATAAAGAGATGAGGGCCTGAAGCCTCGAGCCCATAAAACCTTTAAAGAATTATTGATAAACACTGAAAATAGCTGGGGGGGGAAGAGGGTGGGAGGGGAATAGTAAAAAGGATCTGTACCAGGGGCAGCACCTAAGGGATAGCCTGGATGAATGTGGAGAAGCTTTAGCTCTCCCTCCCACATACACTTTTTAAAAGACTCAGTCTAAGTAGAATAAGCCAGTTCTGAAGCTATTCAAACAGCTTCAGAACTGGCCTAAAGATCTTCTGTCCTGCCCTCACCTATCACTTGTCTCTTTCCTCCTCTCCACCAACTTCACACACACACACACACACACACACACACACACACACACACACTTACTTTCCTCCCCACAGACTAGAACTTCTCCCACATACAAATCCTGAACTCTAAGTAGTGGCCACATAAATCTGGCCTATTATCTCCACTAAGGGAAATGTAGCCCTAACAGTGAAAGCAGTACCCCTACTGACAACTACTGCCCCCACCACCTACTGCCAAATTTGCTGGCATATAACTAAGGCCCAGGAGGCTATCCCCCTAAAACAGGGTAAAAGCACAGCCAAAAATCAAACAAACAGGATCTCCAGATGATCCTGATTTGTTTTCAACTATCTATATCCTCTCCCATCTCTCAGGGGCGGAAACAAACAGCAAACAATTTCTTTCCTTTGCTTCTGAAAGACTTTTACTTCTTGCATCCTCACTGTACTAGCCTTCTGTCCCCAGAAACAAGAGGGTGACTGTAGACATCCTCAAACACTTTAGTGCTGCCCTTCAGAGAGCTTTCCACCCTGATAGATCCACCCACATCACTTCCCTCTGGCATCTTTTCTGTGCTTCTTGTTACTGTTGGTGGTGACAGTGGTGTGCATGTGTCTGTCTGTGGAGAAGCAGGGAAGAAAAAACCCTTATATAGTATGGATAGTCCGACTGCCTCATTTTCCAAAGGAGAAAATGAGTCCCAGAGAGGGAAAGAGAAAAAGACTTAGACTTACTTGCCCAAAGTTGCAAAGCAAGTTAAAGTGAATATGGTTGAGTCCGCCTGGAATCATCAACAAAGGAAAAAATGAACACATGGGACTACATCAAACTAAAAAACTTCTACACAGCAAAAGAAACAACCATCAAAATGGAAAGGGAACCCACTATATGGAAGAGCGTAATTGCCAAGGATACATCAGATAAGGGGTTAATTTCCAAAATATATAGAATGCCCATACAACTCAACAAAAGGAAGACAAAGAACTCAATTAAAAAATAGAGGGCCTAAAGAGACACCTTTCCAAAAAGGACATACAAATGGCCAAGAGACATATAAAGAAATGTTCAACGTCATTAGTCATCAGAGAGATGCAAATCAAAGCAACAATAAGGTATCATCTCACACCTGTCAGAAAGGCTGCCATCAACAAATCATCAAACAACAAGTGCTAGCGAGAGTGTGGAGAAAAGGGGACTCTAGTACACAGCTAGTGGGAATGCAGACTGGTGTAGCCACTATGGAAAACACTATGGTGTTACCTCAAAAAGTTAAAAATTGAATTGCCATTTGACCCAGTGATCCCACTTCTAGGAATATACTCTAAGAAGCCCGAAACACCAATCAGAAAGAATATATGTACCCCTATGTTCATAGCAGCACTATTTACAATAGCTAAGATCTGGAAATAGCCCAAGTGGCCATCAATAGATGAATGGATAAAAAAGCAGTGGTACATATACACAATGGAATACTACGCAGCTGTAAAAAAGAAAGATCTCTTATCCTTTGAGATGACATGAAGGGACCTGGAGAGTATTATCCTAAGTGAAACAAGCCAAGCAGAGAAAGACAAATAACACATGATCTCACTTATTTGTGAAATATAATGAACAAAACAAACTGATGAACAAAAGAGACCAAGACGCCCTGGCCAGTTTGGCTCAGCGGTTAGAGCGTCGGCCTGTGGCCCGGAAAGACCCGGGTTCGGTTCCCGCTAAGGGCACGTACTTCGGTTGCAGTTTGTCCCCGGCCCTGGTTGGTCGTGCGGGTGGCAGCCACTCGATGTGTCCCTTCACGTCGATGTTTCTCACTCTCTCTCCCTTCCTTTCTCTCCCTCCCACTCTGTCTGTGCAAAAAATGGAAAAGTGTCCTCAGGTGAAGATTAAAAAAAACAAAACAAAACAAAACAAAAGAGACCAAGACATAGAAGTAGGGTACAGACTGACAAACCTCAGAAGAGGAGGTGGGAGGGAGAGAAGAGATAAACTACAGAACTTACATGCATGTATGCATAATCAATGGACACAGACAACAAAGCTGGGGGCGGGGAGGGGGGAAGACTGGGAGGAGGGTGTCAGTGGGGCAAAAAGAAGAAACCTCTGTAACAAAAATAAATTAATAAAAATAATTTAAGCCCTGTCCAGTTTGGCTCAGCAGTTAGAGCATCAGCCTGCAGTCCAGAGAGACCAGGGTTCAGTTCCCACTAAGGGCACGTACCTCGGTTGCAGTTTGTCCCCGGCCCTGGTTGGCCGTGCGGGTGGCACCCACTCGATGTGTCCCTTTCACGTCAATGTGTCCCCCCCCCCCCATCTGAACAAAAAATGGAAAAATGTCCTCGGGTGAGGATTAAAAAAAAAATAATAAAATATTTAAAAAAAAACATATCCTCACGTAAGGATTAAAAAATAAACTAACGACAACAAAAAAAATCCATCAATCCATCCTCATTTGACTGCTGAAAATTAAAGCTCTCTTAAATACATATTTTTGTTCCCAAAACACTTCGATAATAGATAAAAATGTTAGTAGGGGATTCTGCTTCCAGTATAATCTTCCCAGAGATGACAACTATAAACTGAATAAAAAAATGTAAACAACTACCTAAAGTTCTAATTAAAAAAACAAACCCTAGGTTGCGGGTTCAATACCCCACATACAGGGGTCAACCAGTGAATATCATAAATGGGTGGAGCAATAGGTCAATGTTTCTTTCTCTCACGCGCGCTCTCTCTCCCTTCCTCTCTTTCTAAAATCAACCAACAAATAAAAATTTAAGAAAAAAATAAATAAAAACCCGAGGCTTTCTGCCTACAGAAACCAAAGACAGAGCCCAGAGCAGCCACAGATAACAAGAAGCAAGAAAAAGCCACAAGCCCTGGCCGGTTTGGCTCAGCGGTTAGAGCATTGGCCTGCGGTACAGAGAGACCCGGGTTCGGTTCCCGCTAAGGGCATGTACCTCGGTTGCAGTTTGTCCCCGGCCCTGGTTGGTCGTGCGGGTGGCAGCCACTCGATGTGTCCCTTCACATCGATGTTTCTCTCTCTCTCTCTCTCTTCCTCTCTCTCCCTCCCGCTCTATCTGAACAAAAAATGGAAAAATGTCCTCGGGTGAGGATAAAAAAAAAAAGAAAATAAAAGAAAAAGCCACAAGTCCTGGCTGGTTTGACTCAGCAGTCAGAGCGTCAGCCTGAAAACCAGAGTCATGGGTTCGCCCTGGCCGGTTTTGCTCAGTGGTTAGAGTGTCGGCCTGCAGTCCAGAGAGACCCGAGTTCGTTTCCGGCTAAGGGCATGTACCTCGGTTGCAGTTTGTCCCCGACCCTGGTTGGGTCGTGAGGATGGCAACCACTCAATGTGTCCCTTTGACGTCGATCTCTCTCTCTCTCTCTCTCTCTCTCTCTCTCTCTCCCCCCTCCCTCCCTCCCACTCTATCTAAACAAAAAATAGAAAAATGTCCTCGGGTGAGGATTAAAAAAAAAAAAAAGAGTCATGGGTTCAATTCCTGGTCAAGGGCACATTGAACCTCGGTTGTGGGTTCAATCCCTAGCCCTGGTTGGGGTCATGCAGGAGGCAACCAGTCGTATGTGTCTCTCTCATATCGATATTTCTCCCCCCCACCCCATAC